CTTTTCTCCCCCCCCCCCTCCCTTTTATTTGAGAAAGTTGGCAGAGAAACGAGAGCGGTGTCATTTACGATGTGCAATACGATCGTATCATGGAGCGACATAAGTCAATAATTACTGGCCGTCCCATGTGCGAACTTTCCCGCGGTCAGAACGGCAAGAGAAGCGAGATATCTCTTCCTAGATTTCGCTAAACGATATGGAAGTCTCTGTCTCTCAACTAGGAAATTAATCCCCACCCGAAGGAGGCCACGATGTCATGATAATATCTAAATAGACATTGTCGACGATAATATTGATTTTCCTGCACCTAGACGATAGTAATATCGCCGCAGTTCCATATCGCAATATAAAAAAAATAATATATCGATATATCGTGCAGCACAGATGAATGACACTTTGGTGCAGGTGATACACAATCGATCTACTTGTCCCTTTCCCCGCCGTCATTTTGCTTCTCATTAGCCGGTGGCGAAGTGATCCCGCAACCCGCGATATGAGCAGGCATATTTTAAAAATCGCTGAGCAGGTGTTGCCCTGGAAGAGAGCGACAGAAGGCTAGAAGTAAGACAAAAGAGGCCTTAGTAATCGCAAGAGTTTCCATGACGTAGCACAGTTCTATCGAATTTTGAGGTGCGGCATTTCATGATTTTGAAACGTAGTTCCCCTCGTGCTGCTACATTTTGGGGAAACACAGCGGGAGCCTTCGAGCAGCAGGGCAAAGAACTTTCGGCACTCTTCCTTCCTTCGCGGTCAACTCCAGGAAACATCGGATGACCTTTCCGCGTTTGATATCTCATGTTTTTCAGATGGCCCCTCCGTGAATTGAACATCGATGTAACGTTTTCAAGGATGGAGCCGATGCCAGCACGATAAGACGTAAGATGCTTTGGGCATCGCTGAGTCGATGCAAGAGATACATTCGTTGATTGACTGCTTGATTCTTCAATGTATCGAATATTCTTCTGTAGTTTTCGAAATCAAACGTGCTTGAATTTCACTGCAGGAATGAATCATCGGTGAGATTCGTTGGATGGTAGACCCCACGTGTCAAGTCGTTGGCGAATGTTCAGCTGCGTGGGGGCATTCCATGAAATTACACAATTCCAGAGCAAGGACATCACGGAGGCTGGATTAACGAAGACTGATACAGCTTACCAACTCGCATAGTAGAGACGTGACCTCAGGTAGCTTAAAGAAAACGCTGGCAAAGGATTTATTCAATAGGCGCATGGATGCTGCGTATACGTACGTCCCTAACCTCCTAAAGCTTCAGACTATACTTCCTTAAAGAGAAAATAATAGCAAATTTAACAAAAATGTTTGAAAGTCTATCGCCCACTTCAGTAGATGGTGACGACATGTCTCCTGCTTCTTTCAGATTTATATATTTATTTCACTACTGAATAAATTCTATTATGATCGAGCAGCATGTTTGCTGGCTAAGTTCCTTCTTGCTTGGTTGGAATAAGTATGAATATATTCATTTGAAGTGAAAATAGTATATGACGAATAAGACATGGGTCACAAGTTTTAAGCGTTAAAGAAAAACGAGTAGTTAAAATAAGTACTGAAATTACTGTAGGGTGCTTAAAAAGGAAACTTCTATTTGGCCCAATTGAAAAAATTATTGGAAATAGAAAGATACTAATTGGAAAGGGTTAAAAATGAAGTATTCTCGTGGCCTCACGTCAGCAAAAGCGAGAAAACAAGACATCAGAGGTTTAAGAATCTCCTGTAGACACAGGGCATCGAAAGGCTGATTGTGACACTCTTGAGAAGGGATTCTCGCTCTGACCTGACTTCCCATGCTCATGCATTCGAGACAAACTCCGCCTTATTGATATTCAAGCCTGAGTTGGGGTAACGTATTCATATGATTATGGCGATCAGGAGTCACTTTCACGGATGTCAATTGTAAAACATTGTGCATCCTGGAGGCAGTGAATACTCTGACACGATCAGATTCCCTGTAGAAGGGAACCAATTCATGAACATCAGCCCTAGAAACCTCGCACTGCTCAACTGGTTCGCTCCTCATAAAACTACTGATTTCACACTCCCCTCGCCAGTCCGTTTCTGAATTTCCTTTTGTTTCAGGTTAGCATAATGACTGAGGTAATCACCGAGGTACACATCGGTAATTTAAGAAAATTCTTGAAGCTATTTTTAAAAAAATCCTCTTCGAAATAATAATTTTAAATGTCAAGAATTTATTTCCAATATGCTACCATGCTTAAGTTACTGAGAGCAGGTAAAGCCTTTGAAAAACTGGAAAGTATGAGAAGGAAAAAATATACCTTTCCTAATTGGAAACTTAAATGAATTTGCAATGTGCACATTTCCTTCATTCTTTATTGCTGTCACGGGAAAAAGTGGTTTCAACTCAATAATCATTTCTCAGGAATGCCACACTCCGCTTTTCACTATTATACAGGGTGGGCAAAAAAAAGATACCTGTTTTCAAAAATTCATATCTCCTAAACTAATAACGCAACGGTGATGAAAAAATACCAAAATAAAGCACATTCAATTCTCTTTATAATGACATGGTGGTTTTTGCCAAACGGATAATTATTATTGCTATAAATAGCGTTTGAAAAAAATTGCCACAGAAAAAAAACTTGCACAAAAAGAAAGTTGCCTGGATTCATCGCTTCCTCTGCTGTTTATTTTTTTGTTTTTCGTTACTGCACAGCATTCTCATACTGGAAACATTCAACTTCATCTGTCTCTTATCGTTCCCTCACCATCCCTCCCCCAGCCCGCCGCCCGCGGGCAAGCAGGACCACCGGATCAGGTTTTGAATAAGAGAATAATAATGGAATAATAATAATTTGAATAATGGTCCAGCACCAGCAGTTTGACCTTTTTATCAGCATCCTGATTATTCATGACCGACTGGAGTTCTTTATTATTTGAGATTCATTATTTAAATGTATTATTAATTATTCTATGGCCTTTTCAAATGGTTTTGAGTGAAATTGATAAATGCCTGATCCAGGCGCTCCGAAGAAAAACTCTATTCACTGAACAAAATTCTTGCTGAATATCCTGCTCGGAATTGGATAAAACCAACCGCAGCAGCTTTTTTTCGGAAACTTCTTGACCATGGTAGTGGAAAGCGTCTTGCTGGAAGTGGACGTCCCAAGAGTGCAAGAACTCAAGAAAACATTCAAAGTGTTGGTGAATTAATCTGCAGTCAAGAAGGACATTCAGGGACGAGTCTGAGTGTGCGGTGCATTGTGAAAGAAACGGGAATAAAACGTGGTTCGGTGCGGAACATCATTAAAAGACTTGAAGCTGAAAACCTTCAAGCGAGTTCCCGTGCAGGAATTGTCTGAGCGAGTGCGAAAAAAGTGCTTGGATCGCTGCGGAAAACTTCTCGACCGTTTTCCCTCGGCAAGCAAAATCTGGTTCTCAGATGAAAAGCGATTCACTGTTGAGAGGCCTCGCAATACCCAAAATGATCGTGTCTATGCAGCTGTGGCCAGGAAGGATGCTGTCAGCCCTGTGCGACTACTGCGCGAGAGAGCTCATTTCTCGGACTCTGTGATGGTATCTTTGGCTGTTTCTTCAACGGGAAAAACAAGAATTTATTTAATCGATCGTGGAGTTAAAATCAACTCGCAAAGCTATTGCAGTGACCTGTCTGCAATGTTGCCAGAAATTGAAGACCAAATGTCCGACTACACCTTCATGCAAGATTGAGCTCTTGCTCACACAGCTAAAGCTACCATTGACTTTCTTCGGGAAAATTGTGCGGACTTCATTGAGCCAGACAACTGGCCACCCAACAGTCCCGATCTGAAATAATCCTGTGGATTATTTCGTGTGGACTGCTTTAGAAGAAAAAGTGTACCGTGGACAGAGAATTCGTACGGTGGCGCAGTTGAAGGAATGAATTTTGGCCGCGTGGGAAGTTCACCTCAATTGCGAAAGCTATTGCTAAATGGCGAGGACGATTGCGGGCTGTTTTACGGCAAAGTGGTGGCCATATTGACCATTTGTGGCTAGATGAATTGGGAAGTGAATTTTTAGCATGCAGGACAACGCCCCATTACGGAAAAATCCTATAGGAACATGAAAATCTTATAGGATTCTAATCCTATAAGATTTTCATGTTTCAAAAATCTTATAGGATCCTATAGGATTTTTCCTTAAGGGCGTACTGTCACAAAATAAAAGAGAAATAAAGTATCATTTGTAGAAATTCAGTTGTGCAACTTTTTCTCGGGGGTAATTTTTTTCAAACGCTAATTACGGCAATAATAATTATCCGTTTGGCAAAAACCACCCATATTATTATAAAGAGAAGTGAATGAACTTTATTTTGGTATTTTTTCATCACCGTATCATTATTAGTTTAGGAGACATGAATTTTTGAAAACAGGTATATTTTTTTGTTGTTGCTCACACTGTATATACTTGCAAGCGATTCTTATTCCCCTTAAGTTTTGTTTCCTTGCTTATGGTGGAGTGATCCCATAAAGTTCCTTCTCTATTTTGAATCATAGGGCTTTGGGCATCTACAGAACGTTTTGCTTTCATTCAACCTTGGAAATTGGGAGGTTATAGTCTCACTTTCAGTTGAGAACTGCTCATTGTTGATAGATGGCTAGATGATTCTTGTGATAATATGGATAATGGGAGCAGGTCTTCAGAAGGATGAATTGATCAAGGTGCATGTGGAATCACAAGACAGAAAAGGGAAATATTCCTGTGCAAATGACAATCAACCCTGACTTTAGAGTATTAGCCATCCAGAATACCATCACAGTTTGATGGTATTCTGGTCCCATAATTGAAAACATGTCTAAAACAGGAGCAACAAAATAGTACTAATAGAACCATATACATAGCGCAAATGAGGGACAACAAGCATGAACATCCCAGTGGTGTGGGCAAGGCAAGCACTTTGACAGGTTGGGTCACTATAACTGTGGTGTCCTCATTTTAAGTCAAACTTATGGACTGTATCTCAATTCTCAATCAATACAGAATGAAACTGGAAGCAGATAATTTTTATTTTCTCCAGGAGATTCAATGGAGTACCAAAGAGTCTTCACACAATCCTACCTCTGTTTCAAATTCCCTGTTGCAAAGTGTTGCAATATAATTCAAGTCCCAGTAAAAGAACTAGATAAGACTTGGGCTTTGTATCAATCAAATGACTTCTTCCATTCACAGAGGATGTCAGCTGCCTTTTGGAGAAGTGCATCTTCCTGTAATGGAAACAAGATTCATATAGAAGTGGATGATGAATTCTTCCAAATGTGCCTAAAACCAGATAAAGAATTACTACTAAAGCACTACTGAAACAGAAGAGCTATACTGACCTTGATGAAGCAGAAACGGATGAAATTTTCTCCTAGATACTTGTTCTTGGGAGAGTAGAATGCTGAAGGGGGTATGCCTTGGAGTTTTTTGTGTCGAGACATCCATTTCACAAATCGGTAATCTTTGTTAGGATCTGTTTCTCCTTCAAACATCACTTTGTCAGCTGGAAATATGGGAACAGGAAACAACTTATGAGCTTAATGCACAAAATAGTGGCATCCAACAGGTTTTGTACTTCCATGAGGCCTTTCCATCCCTTTTCACTATGGAAATAATGGCAATACCTATATTTTCAAGAACTTCTTCAATCATGTTTTTGTGATAGAAGTCATTGAAAGAAAAAAACATTTGATAACAATAAAAGTTAAGTTAGTAATTCATCCAAATAAAAACCATTTGAAATTCTTGATAATCTTGGTCCATAGCTTCCAGAGGATTAAGATTGTAGCTCATATCAGGGAGAACAAAGATTACAAAAGAAAGTTTGACAACCAAGGATTCCCATCACTTGAGCGTATTCTTTAATTACTACAACAGCCACAAAATATATTGCAGCAACAATTTTCTAACACAAGGAATCAGCATAGGAGACTTGCAATGTTATAGCAGTAGTGGCAATGTTATTGTATCTGCTATGAGGGTGGTAGTATATCAAGAATACACTGAAGTGATGCAGACAAACAGTTATCATGTCCCCAGGGGAGCTACTTAGCTCTCATGGATATGAGGTACCTGTGTGGGACATCAGGGTATTGATAGTGACCTTTGTTTACAAAAGAAGCTTTGTAGCACTCCTTTGAGACAAAGTAGTCTGAGGTACACAGTTCAAGTCTTGCAATGCTCATCTCAGGGTACAAACATTAGCCATATTAGATGATAATCCTGGAGAGGTCTAAAAATTGGCAATGGACACTTGAGAAGATCCCTTAATCTCAATGACTCTCACAGCCAAGAAGGCTGATGCTTGTGTAAAATAAGCTCATATCAAGAGATTATATCCTGCTATATCCTCTATATTCTACAGTACTCTTGGCAGATAAAATAGTCCAAGTCAGTCATCCTATCCTTTCCAGATCACTTCTTTAACACTTGTGCTACTTACTTCTGCTTAACTAAATATACAAGTTAAGCAATTTTCAAAAGTCTGTGCAATCAGAATTCAGAATTAGATGCAACCAACAATGTTAACTACCACAACCTATATATGGCCATCATCCCATATGGGAGTTAATGTGCTAAAGAATATGAGGCTCTTGCAGAGTAATCCTGTACACTTGAGGAAGAGCTAAAACAGAAGCAACAGAAAATTACTTTTCTGCTGGGCTAGAGCTAAGTGAAAGGTATTAAGAAAGCCATTCATGACAATCATTCTGCAAAGTAGCCAAAGGGAACCTGAGAATAAAAATGGCAATATTAACCACAAAGATGAAAAGCTATTGACAAGTTATTTGAAAGGCACGGAAAAAGATGTTAAGTTTCCCAAATCTCAGTTAAAATGAGGCTAAGATCACCAGAATCATCTGATCTTTGGAAAGTACGATCTTTGAAAGTCAGCATAGCTTCTGCTGAATTGGTTTCAATGCAACTGAATTCAAGAGATTTTTATATTTCAAAGCATAAAATTATAAATTTGTTCACACCAGAACCTGGCTTTCTTCTGAATAAATCAACAAATAAATCTGTCAGCCTACGTACCTAGTTTGGACCAATCAGCCATCATGAAATATCCACCATCAGGGATAGTGGGTTTCATTCCAAAATCTCGAAGAAATTTGACCATGAAGTCTCTCTTTGGTTCAAGGAGAGCTGGCAATTCATTGAAATAGCAATTTGGTTGATTCAATCTCCCCATCTCCAGCTCAAGACCTTGTGCTACAGCTTCCTGGAAGCAGTGAAAGGCACAACTTTAGAAAGGATTAAACCAAGTCAGCAGGAGATGATAAANTTTACAAAAGAAGCTTTGTAGCACTCCTTTGAGACAAAGTAGTCTGAGGTACACAGTTCAAGTCTTGCAATGCTCATCTCAGGGTACAAACATTAGCCATATTAGATGATAATCCTGGAGAGGTCTAAAAATTGGCAATGGACACTTGAGAAGATCCCTTAATCTCAATGACTCTCACAGCCAAGAAGGCTGATGCTTGTGTAAAATGAGCTCATATCAAGAGATTATATCCTGCTATATCCTCTATATTCTACAGTACTCTTGGCAGATAAAATAGTCCAAGTCAGTCATCCTATCCTTTCCAGATCACTTCTTTAACATTTGTGCTACTTACTTCTGCTTAACTAAATATACAAGTAAAGCAATTTTCAAAAGTCTGTGCAATCAGAATTAGATGCAACCAACAATGTTAACTACCACAACCTATATATGGCCATCATCCCATATGGCAGTTAATGTGCTAAAGAATATGAGGCCCTTGCAGAGTAATCTTGAGGAAGGAAGAGCTAAAACAGAAGCAACAGAAAATTACTTTTCTGCTGGGCTAGAGCTAAGTGAAAGGTATTAAGAAAGCCATTCATGACCATCATTCTGCAAAGTAGCCAAAGGGAACCTGAGAATAAAAATGGCAATATTAATCACAAAGATGAAAAGCTATTGACAAGTTATTTGAAAGGCATGGAAAAAGATGTTAAGTTTTCCGAATCTCACAGTTAAAATGAGGCTAAGATCACCAGAATCATCTGATATTTGGAAAGTACGATCTTTGAAAGTCAGCATAGCTTCTGCTGAATTGGTTTCAATGCAACTGAATTCAAGAGATTTTTATATTTCAAAGCATAAAATTGTAAATTTGTTCACACCAGAACCTGGCTTTCTTCTGAATAAATCAACAAATAAATCTGTCAGCCTACGTACCTAGTTTGGACCAATCAGCCATCATGAAATATCCACCATCAGGGATAGTGGGTTTCATTCCAAAATCTCGAAGAAATTTGACCNTAAATTTGTTCACACCAGAACCTGGCTTTCTTCTGAATAAATCAACAAATAAATCTGTCAGCCTACGTACCTAGTTTGGACCAATCAGCCATCATGAAATATCCACCATCAGGGATAGTGGGTTTCATTCCAAAATCTCGAAGAAATTTGACCATGAAGTCTCTCTTTGGTTCAAGGAGAGCTGGCAATTCATTGAAATACGTTAAACCAACTAAGTTAGAGGGGTAGAGGTCGAGTTCTGGAACACGATGTCGAAGGACCTTCGTCACTTTCCGTGTTGAAATCTTTCCTAATTTGGTTCAGTCGTCCTCTACTATTTTAGTATTTACATACTTGAATTGGAGTGCTACAAGTATATATAGCATTCTGATGAACAGTTTGGAGGTTTTTCAAGATGTAATGTGGACCATAGGCCCAGCCGAGTTTCCAACCAGTTGTACTGAAAGTCTTCCCAGCACTGCCTATTGTCACAGTACGCTCCCACATACCATCCAATGTTGCTAGGAGCAAATTGAAAGACACATTGGTTCAACTCTATGTAGGTAATCATCAGGGAACAGTATTGTTTCCTTACAGTGTCTGTAACTGGAACCACACATTTTTTCCATTGACTCTGATGCCCATTTTGGGGTTCTCCACATTTACTGGGCATCAAAAAGTTAAAAGAGATTGGCGAGTGAAATGTATGAGGGGTGTTCGAAAAGTAATAGGAATTTTGAATTTTTTCCCAATCAACATATTTATTCATCATTATTTACACTTAACTTTTCAATATAATCACCCTGGAGTGCAATACACTTTTTCCAACGAGAGACTAACTTCCTAAGGCCATCATTAAAGAATTCCTTTGGTGTGCTTTTAGTCCAACGTTCTACCGCATCCTTGACCTCTTGTAGAGAAGAAAAACGCTTGCCCCGAAGTGGTTTCTTCAGTTCCGGGAATAGGTGGTAATCACTTGGAGCCAAATCAGGAGAGTAGGGTGGGTGAGGCAGCAAC